CTCCTCCTCCTCCTCCTCCTCCTCCTCCTCCTCCTCCTCCCACTCAATATGTGTCTCCCGTTGCTGTGATGCGTACACGTGATAGGGGCAAGCACCTGCCAAGGGTCCGTCTGACTCTCCCTGGGGCTCCCGCCGGGCCTTCGGCGGGCCCGCGCGGCCTCAGGGTGGCGCAGGCCCAGGCGATGTTCGCCACGGCCTGCAGCGCGAGGCCCTCGCGGGCGCAGGCCTCCGCGGCCAGCGGCTCCAGGACCTCCGGGCGCCGCTCCGAGGCGCTGGCGAACGCCCAGAGGATGTTGGCGAGGTGCTGGTCCTCCAGCCTCGGGCTTGGCGCAAAGAGGTCGAGGCTGGTCCGAGAGGCGGCGGGGCGCGCGTCTCCCCCCGCGCTGGGCGTCCGGGTTGGCTCCTCGTCGCCACGGCCGGGTCCGCCCCGAAGCTCTCAGCCACGGGGTCCCCCGGGACAGGCCGGGGCATCGATTCGGATGGGCCGCCACCCGCGGGCCGACTGCTTGTATGCTGTCGCAGCGCGCACGTGTGGAGGAGGAGATAGGCTGCAGCCGGACCAGGGGCAGAAGAACATCCTTCAAAAACGTGAGACCCTCCGCCGGCCAAACTGAGGAATACTCGAGGGTAGCCTCCCCCAGGGTGCGCAAGAACATCCAACCAGCACAAAGAACATTAGAGCACCCTCCCCGAACCGATCTCGATCTTGTACCTCGGTCCGACCGTGAGCGGGCGCCGCGAGTCATCACAAGTGTGCCTCGCGAACTCCGAGGGCGAGAGCGGCAGCTCGAGCCTCGAGCCTCGGGTTCCGCTCGACGGGGCGAGGTCCTGAGAGGGAGACGGGTCCTCGGCCCCGGCGCCTCGTCCGGGGCCAGCGTTTCCTCCCGAGCCGCTGCTGGCACGGCTCTGGAGTCCGGGAAGGGCCCCCGGAGTCCGAACCGTCTAAGAGCAACACAAGTCGGGGGGGGGGGGAATGGCCTCGCGAGTCGGGCGTTGCTAGAAGTGCCCCTGGCCCAGGTGCCCCAAAGGAGTTCCAAGGAGGCCCCCCGAGGCCTCCACCCCCACGAAGCCCAAAAGGGCCCCAGGGGCTCCCCAACTTGAGTGAAAAGCTGGGGGCACCTTGGGCCGAGGACACCTTCGGTACTCCTGATTTCGTAACAAATGGAGGGGGGTCTCATTTCGGGGGGGGTCTCCTCTTCCAGGCTATCTTGGAGGGCCTGGGGGGGGTCTGGGGACGATGTTTTGGAGGGTTCTCCCACGGGGGAGGTCTGAAATGGCTTGCCTTGGAGGGTCCAGACCCCCTCCCTTTTACTACGAGATCTGGAGTAACCCCCCAACGCAGGAGCAGCGCTGGGGAGCCGGACTCTCAGCACGGCCATGCGCAGGAGGCTTCCGTGGGGGCGGGCGGGCGCCCTCGGAGGGCGCCGCTGGGAGGTGCCTCGGTGGACAGGCAGGCGCCCGAAGACAGGAAAGGGATCTCTGCGGCCCTCCAACGGGCCCCGAAGCACGCTAGAGCATGCCCCACAGAACAGCAACATCTGGAACGATGCCGTGCCATCAGAACCCTGGGCCGCAACGGGAAGGAAGAGTCCGGAGTCATCTATCCGTTTCCAGGTCTGCGCGCCGGGAGGTGCCATTGGTGGACAGACCGACGCCCGAAGACAGGAAAGGGATCTCTGCGGCCCTCCAGCGGGCCCCGAGTCACGCTGGAGCACGCCCCACAGAGCAGCAACATCTGGAACGATGCCGTGCCATCAGAACCCTGGGCTGCGACGAGAAGGAAGAGTCCGGAGTCATCTATCCGTTTCCAGGTCTGCGCGCCGGGAGGTGCCATTGGTGGACAGACCGACGCCCGAAGACAGGAAAGGGATATCTGCGGCCCTGCAGTGGGCCCCGAATCACGCTAGAGCATGCCCCGCAGAACAACAGCTCGGCGGTGGACAAACCTCCCCCGTAGTAGACCTCCCCTGAGTGAAAACGGCCTGGGGCCGAAGCCGACGGCCCTGGACCCGCAAGAGTGACGGCCGCGGCGCCCTCCCGCGAAGCGAAACCGGCCAATTCCTTTTAATCGACGTGTCAGGGCAGGAGGTCTGTCCACCCCCGAACGACATCCGGAGCGATGCCGTGCCATCAGAACCCTGGGCTGCGACGGGAAGAGGAAGAGGCCTCCTAGATGGGGTCCGAGCAGATGGGGTCGGAGGATCGCGTCGCATCGCCAATGCATCGCTGATGTATCGCCGATGTATCGGCGATGCATCGGCGATGCATCGGCGATGCATCGGCGACGTCGACGATGCATCGGCGACGTCGGCGTGGGGAAACACGGGCTCCACGTCGAGCCGCATCGCTCATGCATCGGCGATGCGGCGCGATCCTCCGACCCCATCTACTCCGACCCCATCTAGGAGGCCTAGAGACGAGAAGAGGAAGAGGCCGGAGCGGGCGCGCCGCGGAGGCGGGAGGCGCCGCGCTCGCCTCGCCGCGGGCGGGAGGTCCACCCCCGCCAGGAACTCGCCCGCCAGCTCAGGCGGCGCGCCGGCCCCGACCGCCCACACCACGTTCGAGGCCTCCTGGCGGGGGAGGCGCTTCGTGGGAGGAGGCTGCCTCTCTCTCTGCAGACGCGAGGGCCGCGCCTTCCATAGGGCGACGCAATCTATACATATCCACTGCTCCCTGGCCAAGCGCATCCTGAACACAGCAGCTGTGCATACGCCACGCTCTCCTGGTTTGGCCAGGAGGGCGTATACACAGCTCCTGGGTTCAGGATGGGCCTGGCCAGGGAGCAGTGGATATGTATAGATTTCGTCCCATTCCAGGAAGCAGCCCCCGTCTAAAGGGCCTCCCCCCCCCTCCCCCCCTGCCGCCCTCGGCGCGTGGCCGAGCACCCTGCTGCGGCTCCCCGGTGCCGCTCCCCAGTCCGCGCGGCCCGGCGGCTCGAGCCCGGGGGCTGCCGAGCGCTTTCTTCGGGCGGAGGGCAGAGGGTGAAATCTGCAATGCCGTTTGGATAGGTTTTCGAGGCTCGGTTGCCGAGGCGCAGACCCCCATGTGCATTTCACCCTGAGCCCTCCACCCTAAGAAAGTGCTCAGGGCTGGGCGGGACGCGCCGCGAGAGGCCTCCTCGGGTGCGGGCGGCGCGGGCCCCATCCTCGGAAGCGGCCCCCCACACCGGACCTGGGAAAACGGGCACCAGGCACCGAGGCGGGCAAGAAGGGCCCCAGGTCGCCAAAGGTGGCCAGCCTCCAAGACGGCCCCAGGAGAGCGCAGGGTCGTTCCAGACTGGTCTCCGACGCGGGGGTCTCTCGACAGGCCCGAGTCGTGCCACTCCTGGGGCTCCAACGCCGCGAGTCCACTCGACGGCTGCGCGGGGCCTCCACCGGGGCAGGGCGATCCTGGATGTGGGCGCTGATCTTCCGGCCACCTGGGCAGCCCGAGCGCCACCACCCTCGCCGAGAGCGCGATCGCCCTCCCTCGGCGGAGGCACGCCGCCGACGCTGGTGCTGGTGCCAACCTTGAAGGGGCCCTGGGACACACAGATATAAACAGACACAAATAATAACACGAGTCTCCATGTTCTCCCATCATATGTTCTGGGTTTTCGTCCCCCCACCACGTTCCGCATTTCCCCATGTTTCTGGGGGGGGAATCGACGACTCACTGTGTCGCTCCTCCTCCTCCTCCTCCTCCTCCTCCTCCTCCTCCTCCTCCTCCTCCTCCTCCTCCTCCTCCTCCTCCTCCCTCCTCCTCCTCCTCCTCCTCCCTCCTCCTCCTCCTCCTCTCTTCCTCCTCCTCCTCCTCCTCCTCCTCCTCCTCCTCCTCCTCCTCCTCCTCCTCCTGGCCCCCGCTCCTGGGCCTTGAAGCCGCCCCACGCCCGCGCGGCCGCCCCCAGGTCCGCCGCCCCTGGGCCCGCGCGCAGGCGCGCCAGCGCCCAGAGCGCGTTAGCCAGGCTCTGCGGGCTGTAGTGCCGCCTCGCGGCCTCGGAAGGGGCCCTGGGCCACGCAACGTAAGACACACACACACACAAAAAAAAAAAAAAAAAAAAAAAAATGGCAGGATTCCCATATTTGCCCACGTTTTCTGGGTTGTTGCCTTCCCCCCCACTTCCCATAGTTTCCCATCCTTCCCCAGGAGTCGACAATTGGCTGCCGACGAAGCAACGTGCTGACGGAGCCCCAGGACACACAACAAATACACACAAATAAAATACACATGTTCTGGGCTTCTGTCTTCCCCCCCACTTCCCATAATTTTTCCACATTTTCCGGGGGATCGACGATTCATTGTGTCTGTGTGCTTTTTTTTTTCCCCTCCCTGAGCCTCGTGCGCCGCGCCCGCCAAGCGCTCGGGGGCCGCCTTCCGCGCCTTGCCGTGCGCCCACAGCAGCGCGCCCACCGCGCGAGCCTCGGGGGACAGCGCAGGGCGGAGCCTAAACGGTGCTTTTCGCTTTCGTTTTGCTTTCGTTTTCCCTCTGTTTTCGTCTTGTTTTCGTTTCCCTCGTTTCCGTTTCCCTCGTGTTGTCTTCGTTTCCCTCGTTTTCGCTTTCGTTTTCGTCTTCGTTTTCGTTTCGTTTTCGTTTCCCTCGTTTTGGCTTCAATCCGCCTTTCACGCACAACGGAATCGGAACGAAAACGGCCAACGCCATCGCCAAAACACCGTTCAGGTCCACCCCTGGGACAGAGAGGCACCGCTGCCGCCGCTCCCCAGCCTCCCCGGAGGCCCGAGAGGGCGAACACGACAGCGGGGTCCGCCACCGCGCTTGCGGCGGCTGGTGTGCGTCGGGTCCTCTCGCTGCTCTGCAGAGCAGTATTCAGGGGGCCCCCTCGACACATCGAGCCCATGATGCGTTCACTGCTGTGGCCAAGTCCCTGCGTTGTTGACCAACTGACCGCATGCAAGACTTGCGGCAAGGGGGCTCCACAGACCCCGCCTCCCCCCCCCCCAAGGCGCACGCACCCCGCCCGCCCGGGCGCGGTGGCGGAATCGCGCGGCAGCGCAACTGGTGCAACGGTTGTAGTGCCTTTCTTCCCCCCGAGAGCCGGCGGCGGCGGCGGGCCCAACGCGTCCTCGGCCGCGCCCCACAGCGGGCTGCCGGCGTCGCGCAGCGCAGCCAGGGCCCAGAGCGAGGCCGAGAGCTCGGCCGCTGGCAGCGGGCCGCGCCGCCGCAGCTCCGCGTGCAGCGCGCGAGGCGCGGCGCGGCCGACCTTTACAGTCGGGGCTGATTGGAGAGGACACGCGAGAGGACACAAGACCCTCCCGAGTGCCACGTTGCCACAGGAATGTAGAAGGCATGGGTCGCGAAGCGCAGGACACCAGGGTGCCCTTGATTCGGCAGGGTCGACCTACGAGGCAGCCTCGACTGGAAGACGAGGCTGGGGCCGGGACGCACCGGGGACCTCTGGGATCTGGCAGCTCTGGAGGAGGCATCGGGCGCCGCTGCCCTTCCAGGGCGCTGCGAGACGCTCCGAGGGCGTTCCGGATGAGCCAGAACGAGGATCCCATCGGGTGGGGATACATCGAGAATCTCTGAGAACTGGCGGCTCTGGAGGATGTCTCAGGGGCGGCGGCCTTCTCAGAGCGTTCTGGAACGCTCCGAGTGTTCTGGAACGCTCTGGAACGGATTTTTATCTTCGTCCTGGCCCCGTCCGAGTCCACCCCCCAGACCTACGCCCGCCCGAGACCTTGGCGGCGGCCCAGAGGATGTTCGCGAGGCACTGGGTGCTTGCCCGGGACACGTCCACGGATGATGGGCTCATTTTCCGCCACCGCTACGATGGGTAGGAGAGGGAGGAGGAGGAGGAGGAGGAGGAGGAGGAGGAGGAGGAGGAGGAGGAGGAGGAGGAGGAGGAGGAGAAAGACAACGACGACGACGACGACGACGACGACGACGACGACGACGACGACGACCTCCTCATCCTCCCTTCCCCACCGTCCTACATACGTATGGTAGTGGTGGTGGCAAATTCGCCCATCCACGGAGGGCACGCGCTCGAAGACGGGGTGGTCCAACTGCAGGGCGCCCAGCGCCCACAGCACCCTGGAGAGGTCCACGCCGGCCGCGGCAGCCAGCGGCGCACCCGCCCGGGCGGAGTCGAGCAGGTCCCTCGCCAGAACCTCCGAGCGGGGAGGCGTAAGACTCGGGTACAGTCGGGGCGTTGACCTAAGGAACCCTAGATAAGGAACGGGGCCCCTGTGTCCACAAGTTGAACCTTCGACTTCCCATCGAGAACATCAGGAAAGCCTGAGGCAAGCTGTGAAACAATGAAGGAACACGGAGCCCCTCCCCAACGTAAAGGGTTCCTTCTTCAGCGAGCCGACTGTACGGGGGACCCGGGTTGGCCCGACGGGGCCATCACAGAAATGACGAGGCCCAGTCTGAAATTTGGCGCGAGCTCCCGCTGCAAACATCCCACGAACACTGGACCGTCAAAATCCAGGACGCGCTCGTCAAAAAACGTCGGCAAGCCCGAGTCCCAGCGTACTCGAATCTCACGTTTCCCCGATCCAGGGAGGAGGCAGCGGCATGGATTTCTTGGATCTGCGCGCGCGGATTTCTTGGATCTGCGCTGGGGCCCCCTCCATGGCGCGCGGAGTGCGCCAGGGGCGCGCTCGAGGCGGCGGCGCCGCCAGGGGGCTCACAACGCAGATCCGAGACATCCGCACGGAGCTTCGACAGATTGCTGTTAGTGACGCTGTCTCTTCCTTCACAACCTTCTGTGGCAGCTCATGGGAGCCTCC